CGTTGACACACCATTAAGGAACACCCTGTATGCAGCGCGATCGGTTCTATATTGAAAAACTAGAGGTGACTAATGGAGTCGGTTGACCAAATGTTAATGACTCTTGTAATAATCGTCAGATGTCGTTGATATTAGGTCTGGCGAAGCGTATGGATACTATTCTGTCATTCATGATATTAATAGGTCGAAGTATCGAAGTAGTCGGCAAATATCATCGCATCATCATCGACGGTAAGTAAATATTTTTGCTCTAACTTTTTTTTTTTCACTCACTAAGTTCTGCCTGATTGCTATTTAATAATATTTTGTAGAAATGTCATATATGGACTATAGTTTACTGGATTCTATTTCATTCTTTACGTGACCTATCACCATTAATACATTAAAATGGCAGGACCAGGTCTCTTCGTTTATTAAGAGGCATAGAAGTTTGTCCTTGAGATATCCACAAGCCACGAGTTTATCACGAGCAACGGCGTTTAACAAAACCACTGTAACCAAGTTTTTTGCAAGTTTAGAAGATGGATGAAGGAGCACCATTTTGTTAAATTTATTAAACACTTCGTTGATCATGAGGTGTTGCAAGGAAAGACTGACTCTTTTACTGCTTAACAATCATGATTACCACTTATCCATACCAGCGTTGGATGTTTGTAAAGAGAATGAGGTTAGAGTTTTATCATTTCCTCCCCATTGCTCCCATAAGCTGCAGCCCTTAGATAGGAGCATTTATGGGCCACTCCAGACAAAATATTATCAATATACGATATCCCCGGAATTGTGAAACAAGCTTTACCCTTAGCTACTGCATCAGCAAATATACTGGCTGGTTTTTAAAGAACAGCAAATTTTCTTTGGTGCTTTCTACCTTCCTATGTACAGATAGACCTGACCCTACAAACGTAAATGAGGATTTACCCAACGAAAAGACATCTACCACAAATGGCAGTGGATTAAATGATCAAACTACTACAGCAAATGATAAATGAACAGTCTACTTCAAATGACAATGAGTCGATAAAGATAATGCAACTACAAACTGTTGACAAACGGGAAAGCCAGATTACAAAATGTTGAGTCCTGAGTCAAAAAGCAGATGCTCGGAAAAATACCTGGAAGACGAGAAGAAAACGGTTGATTTAACAGATACGCCTATAAAACAAGCGATTCAAGAAGAACTAGAAACTGCCAAAAGAAAGAAGCGTCCATGTAAGAAAAGGAAGTCTGAGAAAAATAAAGAGGGAGAAGTCAAAGATGGCCGCAGATTTCTCTTCAACGAAAATAGTTCCAAACCATCTACTCCACGTGACAAATCTTCGTCTTCTGAGTCAGAAGATGTACTTGGTACGCATTTGTATGTATTTCTTTATAGATATAATAAAAATTTTTTTTGACTCGTTAGTTACTCGCAAAATATGTCATGAAACCCCGTAGCCGGGACTTGTTGACTTACTGTAGCCCCTTACCAATAAATGTTAAAAACTTGATATCTAGCACTTTAAACTAGGCATATATTGACTATTAAATTTAAAAAAAAAAATGAGTCTTTGGAACGATCTTATTTATATTATAAGTATACTTAATTTTTTATTTCATTTTATAATATTTAGACGTATAATTTGATTTGTGTGTGGACCCCGGGTTGGGTATACTAACATAGTTTTGCCTGCCTCCCAATGGGAGTTTAGGCGTGGGCACAGTACGACCACAGCACTGCTTAAGTCACTGGTGACCTTTTTAGGGCCAAGGATGCGTCAAGAAATACTTGTTTGATTTTGTTGGATTATAGCAAAGCCTCCGATACCTTAAATCATAGTCTTCTTATTTTAAAATTAAAGTTCTTCGGTTTAACCGACACCGCTATTACTATTATGAAAAGTTACCGACAGAGGCTTACGTTGGGATTAGCGGTGTCTGACTTTGCTGCCAATTCTAAGGGGAGTTCCGCAGGGCAGCATTTTGGGACCTTTATTGTTCTCTATTTACACCTCTGACTTCTCTAGGCACCTAAATATCAGTGACTTAAGAATTAGTATGCGGTCAAAGAGGTCATAAATGGCGTAAATGAGGATCTTGAAGTGATTTCTAGAGTATAGAAATTTAATTAATTCCAAGACCCAGGTTGGTCTTTATGCCCATAAAAAAGATTATCCAGTATAATGATCTGGAACTTTCCTTGGATGGTGCTACGCTTAAATTTGTCGGCAAATGTAAAAACTTAGTATTTGTTGATAGCAAGCTGGTTTTTGATTCTCACTTGTCTTATTTACTGCAGAAGCCCTACGGGAAACTGAAAGTACATGTATAAAGACTACTTATCTACTGAGATTTGATATAAATTGTGTGACTCTCTTATACTCTCTCTACTGAGATATGGGGACGTTGTCTACTTGCCGGCCCCTAAAACTGAAAGACCAATACAGCTTAGAAAAATTGCAAAAAAAAAGATCATATAACGCCGGCACTCAAGTATTCTCAGTGGTTAGATCTATCTGAAAGGTATTTTGTGCATCTGTCTACGTTGGTGTATAAAATTACTGGGTACAAAAAGCCGCGGTATCTTTTACTCGTTTTTGAATATTGCCCTTGCTTTTTATAGGGTCCATGTTTTTCTTTCTTCCTTTTTTTACATTTATCCTCCTTCGATTTCTTTAAAATTGTCAAATTGTGGATTTAGGAGGATTTAAGGAACTTATTTGTATTTGTTAGTTTTTTTTTTCTTGTTAAGTTCTGAATATTCTCCTACGTTGTATTAGTTAGCGCTCCTAGACCTCGCCACCTGTTCAACTCTATTATGGTATATTCTTTTTGTTCTATTTTAATAAAGGCTATTTATTATTATTATTATTATTTTTATATAAACTAATACCAACATCATCCGTCAAAAAAAATCTCGAGTTTCCACGGTCGGCGGGCGCCGAACGCCACTGATCGCCCTCAGGTAAAACCCGACGTACCAGCGGTACCGCGTGGGCCGAAGGAAAGAAGGGTTTATCTATTATCTGGTCCCCGGACGAGCGTGCATGCGGCACGCCCATACTGCCTGCACCGTTGGTCGTATACGGGGTGTCGTGTGGTTTCTTTCGCGATGGTTCCAAGCCGCTGACCTCAGCGAGGAGACAGCCCACGCTTTGTGAAGGGTTTCGGTCGTTTGCGATCGCAAGAAGGAAAATTAGCTTACACGCAGACCCGGCGTAGTATATACGGGGCGTTCGAAAAGTAAACCAGTGAGGGGAAACGGAAACTCTCTGAGGCGCTACGGTTTTTCCCACCAACGTCTGACGCCAGCCCACACCTAAATTCAGGTTTGCGGAAACTTTGGTTTAATAGATACCTAAGTGACCCTAATGAATTTGGCTGTCCGATGTCCGCTACCTAAATTCAACCTTAAAATAATACCAACAATGGGCGAGAGTAGTATCAGTATTACGCAACAAAACGGCATTTCAGGAGTTTAGTTGACACGAGCGGAGCGCAGCGGAGCGAGTTTTTAATAAACGAGTGAGTTAAAAAGTTTACCGAACGTGTTGCATACGATACTTTTTCTACGACCGCCACGAAAAAGTCACAATTTAACAAATTAAAAATAATAACAGATTATCCGATTACTATACTTCGTGCCATTCAAACAAAATAGTTACTAGTTGCCATTCGTTTATAGTTCCGATAGGTTCTGTTATTGTTGTCTCTTTTTAACTGTATACGTTAGACAGACTCACCAAAACTAACCAAAACTAATAAGTTTTATTTACTTCTTTTTATTTATTTATTTTATTATTTATCAGGTGTAAACCCTACCTATTTTTCTAAAAAATGAATTTTGTTTTGGACGTTGTCATTCATAAATTTGATGTGAAGACGTCAACTTGTACCTTAGCCGGTGGCTGTAAAAAATAGGGGACGATAATGACAACAAAATATTCAAAAGATACTCACGGGTTAATAAAAAATATTCGATAAAATTAACCTATATTTTTTTGGAAAATTGATCGTATGCGTAGGAATTGATGTGTCCTGTGCGGATTTAGCGCCCGATGTACATCCTGTATCATTAAAACAAGCACCCTTTTCCTAATTCGTACTCGGATCACACCTATGTAGTATCGACTGTCAAATTACAAAGTGTACCATTTGACCGTCTGCTACATCTAAATCCCTCGCGAGACGAGACTCACCGAGGCTTTCCGAAACGGGGCCGAACGCCGTTCGGTCTTTTCCGCAATTTGAACATTCGATCATTTGTAGTGTTCCCCAAAACCCGTGCGCTAATATCAGGAAAATGTCCGAAATGGCTCGGATGCGTGGGAAACCAAACTGATGTGGTAAAGTGACGCGTCCCGCACGCTAGATCGGTGTGTAATAAGGCATTTTACAGACGGGAGTAAAAAAACAGATTTTTGCTTGCCTGAGCACTAAAAAGGAAACTTAGCTGGGATTTTGTGAGGATTAACTCAACTAAACAGAAGGGTTCTTCCAGTCGTTAGTTACAATTAGGTTATAGGGAATACAGGGGTATATTTGAGAACTACGTGGAAATAGTATTGGGAAATATTTCAGTTTTAGGAAATGCTTCCCCCACGGAAAAGACTATTAAGTATTTGCCTGCTCCCTAGTTATTAAAACTTTGAGGGAGGTTGGAGAGAATGGACAGTAAGAGCTCTGCGAATGTGGCCGTTTGATATCGTTTTTTTTACATTTCTATAAGATGTACGAAATATGCTTCGCGTTTAAGTCCATAAAACCTCTTGAGAGTGTCACTCGAGCATCTCGAGTCATCGGACCGGACGGGTTTCTTATACAAAGCAAACAAAGGATGCGTGGCTCGAGGAAGTCGCCTTTTAACACGCCCATGTTGAATTTCGAACCGAAGGGGTAAAAAAGAACCGCGCGCTGTCCTTTTTACCTGTCGCCGCTTGACGATTTACGTTTGCTTTGTGCTCTTAAAACAATGTTGCGACGCGCCAACGGGACGAAAAATGGGACGAGAAAACCCAACTTACTTGCAGAAACTTTCTCCTTTCAGCGTCGGCGACGATATACAGGTGCCGCCATTTTTGCAGGGACTCGGCGAACACGACACAAATCCTGGAAAGAAAATAGAATTACTTTTAAGATGAAATTGAGGACTCTCGCCCATAAATCATTCCTGTCCAATCAACAACATCATGATTGAAAATAGAAAAAAAAACTTATGTGCTGATATTTCCAGGAATTTTTTCAACCATCCACAAATTCCGATTTAATTAAATAGAAAAAAAAAGTTGTATCATTATTCAAAATTCACCGTGTCAAACCTAAAAAAAATTGTTTTCAAAAATTAAATCTGACTGCTGAAAATAATTGTTAAAAATTCATCAGCTCACAGATGTTCTAATGCGAATTTATCTGCAAAGATAAAATCGAAAACATAGTAATAATGGGACTTCATTTGTAAATTCGCTTCAGGGAGTGGCAGGTATAGAACACCAAATTCTGATTTTAAAAATGATCGTTTTCTATGCAGGGTGTTTCAAAATAAATGTGACATACTCAAGGAAGTGATAAAAGATAGATTATTCTATAAACGCTGGATCAATTACAATTACGGCGGAAATAGTATATTACGCAACAAGTGCGGTAAACGGTATTTGACTGACGAGTTTATTTGACACGAGCGGAGCGCAGCGGAGCGAGTTTTTAATAAACGGGTGAGTTAAAAAGTTTACCGAACGTGTTGCATACTATACTTTTTCTACGACCGTTAGTTTTGGGTACATTTTCGACAAACAACACGAATACATTCGCCGAGATGACCGTCAGAACTGGCAAACGTCAAAATTCAAAGCGTGGAAAATATCTCCAAAAAACATCCGATGGCTCCCAAGCCTGTGCGTTAAAATCCCGGAAATGTCCATTCATGGCAAACAAAACTCACGTGGTGAAGTGACGCTAGATCGGTGGGTAATTAGGTATTTTACGGACCGTACAGTATTATTCTTTTAATGTTTTTAAAATGAATTGAAATCTAGTGATGTTACCCCGTAAGGCGTTTCTTGTAATTGCTTTATTTGACATTGCTCGATTAGTTTGAATTTTGTATTCAACAACAAATTTCACCAAAAAATTGACTCTAATTTCACTTCGGTGTCTTGCTGATTTGTTCTGTTCTTATTTAAGTTAGATTGTGAAAGAAATTGTTTCAGAAATTTTAATTAATAAATTATTTTTAAAATGTAATTCCTCAGAAGACGGACAATGGTACAAAACACAACTGTTCGGAAAAATTGCAAGAGAGGAAAAAGTTTCTATCTATCAATCGAAAAGTTTTTGTCATTTCTTTCATCTGAAAAAAATAAAAGCATACGCAGAAACTGTGTTTTTATAAAAGTAAAATGCTTCTGTAATTATTTTACTGTTTTACCTATTAAGATAAAAAATAAAAATATTATTTTTCCGCCATATTTCCCTAATGGTTTATAACGTTTATATAAAAAACTACTCGTTACAAAGAATCACCTCCTTAAGTTTTTCGTATTTGTTTTGAAGCACCCTATATATACCCTTGTCAATCGAACAAGGCCGTTTTTGGGGTTATTTTTTTATTTGTTTATTTTCCAATTTTTACTCACTTTTTGACGCAAAACTGTACAGTTTTTCATTTCTGAAGCATTCTTTTCGATATTTTCAGAAATACCCAGAGGAAAACTGCCTAGCTATCTGGCTTCGATTTAAGAGTTTTTTGTCTGTCAAGAGCCCTGTTATAATTTAACATTTGACTCTGAGTTTTCCAGATCCAGTTGTAAATTCTTATCCAGATTGTCAGTTAGCTGCGTTTGACTTGGTCCAAATTGTGTATTGTCCTTTTTTTTTGGTTTCAGGAACAATTGGACGATCAATTGGCTTAGTAACAAAATGTTTTAGTGTAAATTTTCACAAAGTATCTGTTGGGAAGCAGTACATCTTCACCTTGTTTAAGTTTGTTTCAGATTTTCGGCAGTTTCAAGCATAAAACTGCTAGCTAGCCAGCATCGATTGCCTAATAGGCATTTTTTTTGTTGAAAATCAATTGAATGAGCAATTCGCTTATTAAAAACATGTTTTAGTTTAACTTTCCACTCGGCACCCGTTGGTTATCAATTCACTACCAACCACTGAACAGTCTCTTGAGGAATACTCCTACTTCTCTAATCTACCAAGAACCCTGTTATAAATTAACATTTGACTAGGAGTTTTCCAGATCCAATTGTAAATTCTTATCCAGATTGTTAGTTAGCTGCGTTTGACTTGGTGCAAATTGTGTTTTTTTTTTTGGTTTCAGGACCAATTGGACGATCAATTGGCCTGGTAACAAAATGTTTTAGTGTAAATTTTCACATGGGAACCAGTGCATCTCCTTGAGGAATATCCCCACGTTGCTTAAGTTTGTTCCAGATTTTTAACATTTTCCAAAATTTCCAGCGGAAAATTACCTAGCTTGTCGTAATTTCGACATTCTGTGCCTCGTGTCCCGCTCAAATACATATTCTATGAGACGCGGTTCGTATTTAAATGTCAACCATTGTTCGGTCTCTCGCGGCAATAAACTGTAACCCGAAACCCACACGTCTGCTGCTGGAATTGTCGTCGGGCCACTTAGCAAAAAAGTCACGTACCGCCTCGACATAGCGAGTCGACAATGAATACCACCGCATTCCGTCTAATCAGAGGTATAATAACAACATGGCCGGGTTCCGGAAAAATACGCGTATATAGCTTTCAGATTGTTTGTTTTTTCTTTCGTAAGTCCCTATCATCCTATATGGTACGGAGGATGCGTATAAGAAGATGCCACATGCATCCTGAATGTTAAACAGCCAGCATGTTGAACGCCTATCTTAAATGGGATTTTGGCGTGATTGGATACGACGTGTGGCTTATAGTTCCCGGTTCTCGGACTATGGCACGATATTTCCTGGTCTGGAAGCATTTTCAAGTATTGACAAGTTTTTACCAGCGGTCTAGAATAATCCCAAGTGTTATGCGTGCAACTCCCAGTAATTTTTACTCACTTCGACCATTATGAGATACTTCCTGGTTTTCAGGTGGTTGGTGGTCTCACATAAGGTTTTAATTACTTCTAAATAACTTTTTTCAGTAGTTCCAAGTATTTTTCGAGCATACACGCATAACCTCATAGTTTTAATTATACTTACTACGTTCGGATACTTTTAGAAATATTTTCAGCACATATTTCCAAAGATTTCCAAATATTTCTTCATGGCATTCGTTTCCAGATTCTTCACAGATTTCCAAAATACGTTCCAGCCCCAACACATGTTCCTTACACGCCGGCTTCTAATTTTTCAGAGCTTCCAACTTCTGCCCGAGCATTTTCAAACCCTTCGGTCATTGTTTTTATTTTTTGTTGGCACATTATCCGGTACTTACGAATTCTTGGTAGTAATTGAAGACATTTCAAGTATTATCCCCCTTATCCTAAAGCTTTTCACGATTGGATATATTTGATACTAAGATTTTCAAAATACTTTCCGTCACTTTTGAGTCCCGACAAAGCCACTTAAATATAATACTTATTGGTTACAATTAGTTTCAGATACTTCCTGACGTTGACAACTGTTCCGAAGTACGGTCGAACCTCTATATAGCGAAATTGAAGAGACTGCTTTTTTTTCGTTATAAATAACTGAAAAATAACAATACACATATGTGTTCTGTAATATTTAACATATTTTAACATCTACTTGGGTTTGCAGTTTAATTGAATATAGGGCTTGTTAAATGGATGGTGGTGCTCGCAGATCAACTTTTTCTTCTTCTTCTTCCTCTTGGTGCTCTTCCTCGCCCTTTCTTGCTTGTTGTAATATGGCTTCTTATGTCAAGTGTGCAGTTGTAGGCAAATCCTGATCTATCACCATAAAATCTTGCAACTCCTCACTTGTAAACGTAATTGTTCACGGTAATAAGTCCTGCATGACGATAGGAATGTTGAATTGTTTCTACTGTCACCTCTTTCCAAGCTTTACTAATAAAGTTGACTGCGTCTAGCATATTAATGGAAAAGTTGTCTTTGGACTCACTTTTCGGTTCGCAATTTAAAAGTTTTATCTAGCGTCATTTTGTAAAAAATACTCAGTCGTTAGTGACGTTTCTGGCGACATCCCCGACATCTCTGCTTGAACTTCCTCAACCATCCATCCGAAGCCTGCTTTTAGTTTTACGATAGGTCCATTTTTAAGACGTTGCTATCAGAAACATTGCCCGATCCAAATCTTCAAATTTTGGTTTTCTTGGATACAGTCGACCGTGTGACTCCGTATTTACGTCCCACATCGCTTTTCTTTGCTCTCCGTTCAATCTCTCAAACTAAAGCAACTTTATCATCTAGAGATAAAATATTCACTAAGTCAAATTAGAACTGATTGAAACAATGGTTTTATACATACCGATAAATGCATCAACATAATCGCTTATTATGAGAAAAAAACATGGAGAGTGAGAAATTCGTTATACAGAGTGGATTAATACATAGCTGTGTATGGAGCCCAAACAAATTTTCGATTCTACCCCCTCCCCCCCTTCTAATAAATCACAGCCTGGTCCACTATTTTCAGCGAGATTATTTTCAGATACTTTGTGGCGCTTAGAAGTAATTTACAATACTCTCCAGGCATTTGCAAATGTTTATACACGTACGATGGACGCCCTGTACTTTCACCGTCCAAACTAGTATCCGCCGTTTCTGATCCGACGGCCGTGGCGGCTGCGCGCGACAACTAGCTCTAATTAATCGGACGGAAGTAAATCTGGCCGTCGCGATGGCCGCAGCCGCGACAATTGCCTCCGCGTGCTAGCATTTGAACCAATTCGGACACTTTAACACCGAAATTGATCGTGACGTGTGCTGCCGCTACTGCCCAAGTCATTTCCCGGATACGCTAATCGACTCCCTCGCTGGTGGCTCTTTATTGTTTCGCAGCTTTTCGGTTTTAGTATTCCAACGCGTTTTTAGGCACTTAGGTTGCAGCTTGGCTTGGTTGGCTAAGTTTAAACAGAGACATGGTATAAATTATGGACAGATAAGTGGGGAAGCCCGTGAAGTCGAGAGA